CCGCCGCGGCCGCCTCACCTCGGCCTGCGGCGCACGCAGAGCCTCCAGCTCCTCCTGCACCAAGGGGAGGGGTGGGGAGGGGGGGCGTGATGTGGTCGTGGTGGTGGTGGTGGTGGCGGCGCGTACATGGTGTGGTGTGGTTGTGGTGCAGCGGCAGGGCAAGCAGCGGCGAGAGCACTGAGAGCTTGATGGGGCCGGCCGGGCACCTGAGCCGCGCCTCCCCTCTCCACCCCTGTGCCCCCCAGCCCCCACCCCGCGCACCTGCAGCCTGGCCACTTGCGGCTGCAGCTGCCGCACTTCCGCCTGCTCCGCCGCGCTGAGCTGGCCCAGAAGCTCTGTGCCGATCTCGCCCTCCGTCTCCTGGATGCGCGCCTGCAGGTGCACATCATCGGCGGGGCAGGCAAGCACGCGTGAGCGGGCGGCAGGCGGGGGAGGGGACGGGCGGGTGGGCGGTGGCTCGATACGGCCTGCCGCCTCGCGCGAGGAGCAGGCCCAGGGACCTGCAGGCAGGCGCCCGCCAGCCTGGCACAGCCACACAGCCACACAGCCACACACACACACACGCACATCACACACAGCCGTCCCCACCTGCAGGCTGGCCAGCTCCGCCTCGATTGTGTCCAGGAGCTGCTGGCGGGCCGCCACGCGCGCGCGCGCCGCGCCGCCGCGCGCCTCCAGCTGCCGCAGCTCGCCGCGCAGCGGGGCGGAGCCGTCGGCGGCCGCGCCGCGCCGCGCCTCCACCCGCTGCAGCTCCGCGGTGACCTGCGGGATGCGCTGCTGCACCTCCAGCAGCGCCTTGGCCACCTTGCGGGCCTCCCTGTGGTTGTCGGCCAGCTTGCCGCGCAGGTCCTGGGCGGGGGGAGGGCAGGGAGGGCAGGAAGTGGAGGGGGAACCTAGGGCAGGGGTGAGTGAGGGTGGGGAAGGCATCATGTGGAGGACGGCCCGCACACGCTGGCCGCTGCGCCTGGCACCATGCGAAGCTGCAGCCTCATCAGCAGCACCACCCGCACAATTCCCACCGAGCGCCTCAAGCACGCGCGCGCCCCGGCCGCACGCCTCCCGGCCCGCCCCCCACCTTGATCTCCTTCATGGCCTGGATCTTGGAGCGGCTGGCGTCGTAGTAGCCGCCGCGGAAGGTGCCGCGCCGCTCCACCTGCAGTGGCAGGAGGGGACGCGGCATGGCGCGCTCGGAGACGATGGGAGCAACAGGCAACGCAGGCAGGACCAGCGTCGGGGCCGGGGCAGCAGGCGGGCGGAGGCGGGGCATGCAGACGAGCAGCACGGGGCTGCAGCGCCACACGGCGAGCGATCCGCACGGCTCCCCTGCTGCCCAGCCCGCCGTCTTGCCTGGTCTCCCTCCATTGTGACGCAGTTGAGGTCCGTCTCTCGTGCCACCCGCGCCGCCACGTCCAGGCTGCGGCACACCAGCGTCTTGCCGAACACCTGACGCAGGGCGGGCTCGTACTTGGGCTCGTACTTGAGGCGCTTGAGCAGGGGCACCACGTCGCTGCCGTACTGCAGCCGGCACAAGGACGGTACGGGCGGTACGGGCGGTGATGATACCGGGGCGGGCACGGTGGGAACGGATCAGATCAGCACAGCGTGCCCGGCGTGCCAGCTCAGCGCGTATCACTGGGGCAGTCCCATCCCTCCTTCTCACATGTTCAAACGCTGCCGCCACCGCAACCACCGCCACCGCCGCCGCCCGGTGCGCACCTGGTCGGGGTACCTCGTCTCTGGCGGCTTGAGGCGGTTGAGGGGCATGAAGGAGACGCGGCCGCACTTTCCGCGGTTGAGCTCTGCCGCCAGGCGCAGCGCCACGTCGTCGCTCTCCACCTGGCAGGGGCGGCGCGGCAGGTGCGCACATTACGGACGGCGCCACGCCCACACATAGGCACACACACCCATCAACGCACACTCGCACGCACACACACAAACACACACACATCCTCCCATCCCCTCTGGCGCCGCATCTACAGCCCTGTCAGTCTGTCACCCTCCCGCCCCCACACCGCCACCCCCACCACACAACCACACACACACCACACACACCACACACACACGCAGCAAACCCACTCACACCCCCACCAAACAACCGCACACACACCCAGCAAACCCACTCACCACCACGTGGAACAGAGAGTTGTTGGCCACCACCTCGGCCGCAGTGTACAGCTCCTGGCGGCAGTCAAACAGCTCGATCAGGGTGCCGTACACCTGCAGGGGCGGCGCCGCTGGTCAGTGCGGTTGGGAGACGAGGAGGGCTTGCAGATGAGGAGCCCCCCGACAACCTGCGCAGCTGCTGCCATCGCTGCCACCACCGCACCTCCCAGGCTGGCCAGCGCTGGAAGGGGCGCTCCATGTTGGGAGGGGCCCACCCCGGCCTGCCTCCCTGCCCGCTCCACCCCACCCATGCACCCCCACCCAGGCCCCCGCCCCCCACCTGCCCATCCAGCCCCAGCTCTTGTGTCAGGCGCTTGACGTTGTTGAGGCCGCGGGACAGGTCGCGCCCCAGCCCCTCCAGCACGCGCTCCCGACCGTGCAGCTCCTCGCCCAGCTGCCGCTTCTCGCTGGCGGGCGGGAGGGGACGAGGCAGGGGGCAGGGGAGGCAGGGAGGGCGGCAGGGTCAGGGAGTCGGGGCACGCATGCATGCATGCATGCATGCAGGCGGGAGCGCAAGGGGATGGGCAGGGGCAAGCGTGCAGGTGGGTAGCGGCATGCATGGCGCCCAGGTGGCAGAGCCCCTCCTCCAATCCTCCCTCCCCTCCTCCCTCCCCGCCACTCCCTCCCCGCCACTCACTCGTCCAGCTCCTCCTCCCGCTTGAACAGCTCCCGCTGCTGGTTCTGCAGCTCGCCCCGCTGGATCACCAGCTCCTGCTGCTGCGCCAGCGCGCGCGTGGCGCCCTCGTCCCGCTCCCCGAGCATCTCCAGCGCCTCCGCCGCCTTGGCAGCCACCTGCGCCACACCCGCCAGGGGTGGCCCAACATGCAGCAGCCAAGTAGCGAGTCAGCGCAGCCAGGGCGGCGCTTGGGAACTCTGTCCTGGTCCCCATCTCAGGTTGGAATGCCCCTGAGTGCGCCCCCTGCCCGCCTCATCCACCCGTGTTCCCACCCGCCATCCCGCCCTGCCCACCTCCTCCACCTCCGCCTGCGCCGCCGCCAGCTGCTGCTGCGCGCCGCGCTGGTTCTCCCGCTTCTGCGCCACCGTGGCCTCCAGCTGCTCCACCTCCTTGCGCACCCACTCATCACGCTCCTCCGTGCTGTTGAACTGCGGGCAGGGCAGGGCGGGGCGGAGGTTGGGCGGGGGGGGCGATGAGCTTGCGGGCATGGCACACGTGGTGCTGAGCTGGGTCCCTGGCGATGGGGAGTCGCCAACGAGGGCAAACACAGAGTGTTTGGCCCCGCACAGCCCCCCCACCTGCGCGCTGCGCCCCTGCTTGTCGTACATCGCCTGCAGGCGCCGCTCCTTCTGCTGCAGCTCGCCCCTCAGCGCCGCCTGCCGCTGCTGCGCGGCCGCCAGATGCCGGCTGACGCCCTCCAGCTCCCCCTCCTTGCCCGCAATCAGCTCCTCCAGCGCAGCCAGCTCCTGCTCGCACCGCGACTTGGTGGCTGCAGGGGCCACGAGAGTCGGCCCACAAGGGGCAGAAGGGTAGGCAGGCAG